CTTCGAAATGAAACGACCTTTTATGGTTTGGATCGATTTTATATCAATTTGTTGCTCAAAAGTTGCCAAGGAAGGCAAAAGTTGCCCTAGGTTGCTGGTACTACAAAGAGTTGCTCAAAACGCTAAAAGTTGCTCAAAAGTTGCCGAGCATTGGTCACGTTGGTCACTTTCACCACTATCGGTTGAGGATATTCTTTCCGATGCAGTTGGTTGAGACCGTCTCAATTCCTCTCGTACCGTTTGCCTTATAATCGCATCCATCGCACTTCAGTACACAATATGGCTCTTAAACGTGAGCTTGCGTATGTATCAGTAGGAAGAGATCTGGTAACTAAATTAAAAATTAAAACGGGACTGTGAAAAAAATAAAACTGGACTGTGGGAAAATAAAACTGGACTGTGGAAAAAATAAAGCTGGACTGTGAAAAAAATAAAATTGGACTGTAAAAATATAAAACTGGACAGTGACGAAGGGCTAACGCTCGCTCTGAAGAAGGGCTAACGCTCGAAACGTCAGCTTTTTTACCCTTTGCGGTGGCTAATTTACGTTATCAACTGAATTGTTAACACTAGTTACCAGAGAAAAAATAAAATTGGACAGTGAAAAAATACAACTGGACTGTGAAAAAATACAACTGGACTGTGAAAAATGAAACTGGACTGTGAGCCTCTTGGGCCACAACCTTTACTACTAAGGACAAGTGATTTCAGGTTGGTAGAACCGTCGGCAAGCATTCGCATGGAAATATTCATCAAATGTTGCACGTAGAGTGAAACAACAGTCAATCCTGTAGCAGCTGTAAAAATCGCACAAGTGGTCTATTCTCACTACCAAGGCCTTTCCTAGAGGGTTATGTGAAATATCATAGTACCAACTATGAAAATGGAACATAGATTTAAATATTAAAGGTAAAAGCTGTCAGAACCGTGAGGTGTTGGGAGAAGGGTAAAGAAGGTTTATCCAAAGGTAGAAATTTTACCAAAACCTCGAGACACTGTTAATTGCTTTCCTCTATTTTTTATTTTTAGGGTTATATCTCAACTGATTTGAAAACAAGTCTCGTCTCTCTGTTATTACATTAAACTTCCCCCGTTTTATAGGTATGGAATGGGAATGTTATAACAGCAAATCGTCAGAACGTGCTGGATTCGTGTCGTTTCACTCAAAACAAACTCATTGCCACAGAACTATGATTGTGTTCACCAATTACCGATACTGATAGAGATGGTCAACCGCTCTGAATTGAGAAATGGCCGCAAACTATTACTCATTGTTTCTTGCCTCTGTTATCTATTTTCAATTCTAACCAAAAAGACAAATTATTTGTATTATCTACGAAGTGTGAGGTGGAAGAATTGGAAGGTAACACATGATATCTCTCAGAAATTATGGACAGGAAGTCACCTGCCCAATTCTCGGAAACATCGATAAATGATCCACGCTTGCATCACGAGGTGACCTTAGTTGTGATTGGTTCAAACCCCAACGTGCGATGAAAACATCATGCTTCATTTCAAAAAAAAAAATAAACACATAATTAAGACAATAGCTGCGGAGGACTACAGGAAAATAAAGGAAAAGTACAAAAGAAAGTCAAGGAAAACAAAAATAAATTAAAAACTAAAGGGCTTCAACTCCCAACATGAGACACCTTCCGACTTAAATACCTGGTGCTGGGGTTTCTCCCAACAAACTGTCTAAAGTCATGTCCAAAACCAGCCAAGATGCAATACTACAATAAGGAAAAATGTAGCATCAACTACAAACCAACACATACAGGTTTTTGTTTCCGAAAAAGTGCAAAAATTTTGAATTGTGAGGTTGATGCCATGAAGTCTCTATTTGAAGAAGTTCCCAAATTTCGGCACCAGAGCTGGAAGATCATTCAGAAGAATTTCGCTGAATTTCGTAATATCCTATTGAGATTGAGAATAATCTATCTGACTAAACATTACCTATTGTAGGTCAGATTTTGTGATAAGTAGAGATGCTCGTATAAAGCAACAATAGAGAAACCACCAGATCCATGGGTGATACACCAACTTTACGTAAAAATTTGCTGATTTGGCAGTTTTTACAGCGTATAACATATGGATTTGCTGACTCAGCACTATTATCGCGACGAGGGACCTAAGCTTATAAGTAATTTAATAACACTTCTTTCTGAATAGCTCTTTCAACCCTCATCAAAATGACACTCATTCGAGCAATTTAGTCAAATGAAACTTTCCCTTTGGCTGGAGAATTTTGTTAACTGTAACATTGCAATAATATAATTCGTTTTGCCCCAGCGCCTATTGACTTAGAGTCATCACTTGACAACTCCGTGTCAGTGGTAACTGTCTCATAAACATGCCCATATAAAACGTTATTAGAGAAGAACACGTCATAGCGATGAAACAAGGTACATCCCAGCTTATTGCGTGCTCCACGGATACACCATTGCCGAAGGTACAGTAAGAGTTGTTTCGAGTAAACGACATCAAAGCCGGTAACAAGATGAGCGTAAATCGACGAAGACGGGACAATGCTATCGAAATACAGGAAAGTTCAACTATGTTCGATATCATAGAAGGAACGCTGAGTCCCGACCCAGAGACAGTAGAGAACCACACCAGGCAAATCGAGTATCTACAGAAGGAAATAGAAGAGAGGGACAAGACTCTGTCAAGGCTAAAGCAGGATTTTAACGATTTACTGGCTCAAAACGATGACTTACAGATTACCTTGGAGTCTAAAAACCATGAAGTCGAAGCTCTGAAGGACAAAGTTAGTAAACTAGAAACCGAGAAGAAAATTTTCGAAACGAAGCTACAAAATGTCGAACTCGAATCTAAGGATTCGAAAGACCAAAACGATGAGAAGAGCAAAGAAATCATGATTTAAAGATCTCATTGGAGTCGAAGGATAAAGAATTAACAGACCTTAAAAGGGAAGTTAACGATTTGAAAGACCAAAACGATGAGAAAAACAACGAAATCAAATATTTGAAAGACCAAAACGACGAGAGAGCCAAAGAAATCAAAGATTTGACGATTTCATTAAAGTCGAAGGATAAAGAGATAATTTCCCTGAGAAGGGAAGTCCAAAATTTGACAGACCAAAACAAGAGTTAAAGGTTTCTTTGAAAGCTAGTGACAAAGAAAGGAATGAGCTGAAAGATACGATCAGACAGCTTCAAAATAAGCTGAAATCTTTGGAGCTTTCTACGGAAGACTTGAACAAGAGATCAGAGGATGCGAAGGAAGAACGCAAGAAAATCGAGGAAGACAACAATAAATTAAAACTAGCCATTGAGAAACAGTCGAAGAAAATTGAGAGAATGACGAAGGAACGCGTCCAAAAAGAAGAGGAAGACTACAAATGGAAAAAGCAATGGCAACCAAAAATGCAACTACTTGAGTCTCATGGAAGAAGAGGAGGCCTTCCTTTGGCTGATCCAGTTGAGAAAGCTTACATTGTTCTTGGTGAAATGTGCTCGCAACTGCAAGCGATGATGTACCAGAAAGTACTTCCAGACAGTTATTACAAAGAGTATACTCGTTATAAAGTTAAATCCATCGAACGAGAAATTGACAGAAAACACGGAGACGTTCAACGTCAGGCGATTGAGAGATGGGATAACTTGAAAAAGGAACTAAGCTGGGATGAAATCAATCATCCCAGTACACTGAAAGAGATCCAGAGCGAAAGAAATATTGTGGCTCATCCCGGTGTGCTTACGAAGGAGTCACTTCTCCAATCAGAAAATGTGATGCAAGAGGCAAGAGAAAAGTGTGGCAGGATGCGTTTGACCCATGTCCGTGAAATAATAGAAATGTGGGACCATCTAACACAGATGAAGTAGTCGAAACGTCAACCATGTGTTGAACACATACACGTATGTACAACTAGAGTAACTGTCTATTTTAATGTTTGGTCTAGCCTAGGTGTTGGACTAACCGAACTATCTTGTTGGCAAGGACTGTGAGAGTGACCGAGTTTCACAGTGTTAACATGGCGTTTGAATCTCATCGGTGAAATTCGTCAGTAAAACGAAAATGGTTTCAAAACACATTTACAACACATATTTGTAGAATAGAGCACGAAATAGTATAATGCCGGCTTGTTACTCAAGATTCTACAGCAATTGGTGCAAGATGAACATCGTGCAAAATGTGAGCAACGAACAGACGATCTGCACCAAAATGAATCGCCAAGAATCAACAGGGCATGTTGTGGCCAAACCGATTTAATAATTATAAACGCAACAGGCAACACGCTCGAAATTTCACCGAAAGCTTAAAGTTGGACGGTTAATTATGTTGTAGAAACTGTCTCAAACATAATTTATTGTTTTTTCTCTCAATATTGGATCTTGTCGCTTTGTAGCTATCGACTGCGAACATTATTCAACGCACCTTCATTTTACAACTGTTGAAGTGGCGGTCTCAACTCCATTTTCTTCAGGCTGTTATTAACATATTGCAAAATTTCTCTGGCTTTAGCTCGATACAAAAGAGGAAATAAGGTTATACTTTCAGTTAGTTCACCAGAATTTATAGGAATAATTTGGCCAAAACGAAGAAGTTGTATGCAGTATAGTGTCTTCTTCAGGACGCTATCTCGGTCACCCTTCTTTCGCTTTATACGTTCATGTATGTATATTTTACTTCATGGTGCTTAGAAGCGGTTTATGGTTATAGATAAACTCGCCTAAAGAGGCAAAATAATAGCTTTGAAGCCTTATATTCACTGTGTTCTAAATGAATGATGGCGTGTAAAATATATTTTCGCAACATACTAGAAAATAGGTTTATTCAGAGCAGCAAAGTTCTGAGAAACTTTGAAGGATATTTAGAGATTTTTCCGAGAATTCGGTTGAGTAGAACGTCGCTTATTATGAGATTAATTTCATGAATGCATGAATAAAATCTGCATAATTATTGCACTGAATGTATTGCTTGAACTTGCTAAGACTTCGATCGACGTTTTCGGCTGGCAAGTTAGTTCTTTGTCATTTAACTGAGAAAACTTGTGAATACAGTGAATACTGTTTTTCAAATCATGAATATCATTTCCTGGGGTAATTTGGATAGAGTCCAAAAATATACCATGCATCATAATGGTGATTACGAGCATGCATAAGCATGATTGATTGGGACGCACCCGCTAGCTCCACGTTGCCATGACAATCAATAACCCTTGGGCTCTCTCATTTGATTCTGACACCTCGATTGTTGAACCATCAATCAGATGCCACTCAATAGTGACCAAAGGTCTCCATCACGCACGTAAAATGCTCTGTACTTACTTTCCCTTTCGAACCCTTCATCATTCTAGCTATTTCCGTGATATTATCCTAATTTTGTTTTAAATTAAAATGTGAAAAAAATTAGCTATCAGAACTTACTCAAGCGCTTAACTGCGTTTATTTGCAATTAAAGCTTTGAAACTTCGGTGATATATGCCAATGCTATGTAGGCTAATCAGCCACTTGTAGCTATGGCATTCAACATTTTCAACCGACGTTAGGTGAGGAAACAGGGCAATAAAAAAAATAATTTTTACCACCTGCGTGATAATTGAAACTCTTTTAATCATGAAAGACAGTTTCCTTCAAAGAAATATATAATTAACACACTCCTTTACAAGATGAACAAGTTTACTCTGTGGCTTCAGGATGTTGAAGCACCTGGTAGTTCAGATCGTAATTCAACAAATACGCATTCAAATTTAGCTCTGATATAGCAACTTAAAGTTCGCAGTTGCGTGTAACTTCAGTTGTATTCACAGTTATTGTTGATGGCATAGAGCTAAGTTCCAAAAGGAATTGTGTGCTAAGAGCTGTAAAACAAATGGACATCCGCAAATTATCATATTGCATATTTCCTTCCCGCAGCTTTCACGCAAACGTCGACTTCTTTGCGTGGCACAGCTACCTGATCTTAAATTGAAAATTGAAAATTTATGTAAGCCGTCAGATAGCAAGTGATACATTGTGGAAGTAAGGTGAGATATTTTCATTGAGAATTTGACGTAGTTTTTATTCCTTAAAGCGGTCGTAAATATTCACTTACAAACTCTTATAATTCCGCCATGACTATTATTTTGCAAGATGATCATCTCACAGCTGAGTATTGGACCGCCTGTGTGTTGAGCAGCTATTTGACACCTTTGCTTCGTGAATGCATACGCATCAGGTCCTATTCCCCAAATTCCCCGTTGACCGATAGGATCAACATGATGAGCCGGTGGACGATAAACGTACCTACTATTGCCACTACAATTATTCGGCGATAAAACGCACCGGATCATCAAACTGCCAAGGAGTTATAACTTGTTATCGCTGTCAAACATTTAAAGTTCACGACCGAAATACAGTCAAGGCAGATGTACTACATTGCTTGAGAAAAAATACAAGTCTTGTGTGACAATAAAATAAAAGCCAAAAAACAACGACGATGAAGGAAGAGGAAATGATTTAATTGACTACAAACTTTTTATAGAACAGTACTGGTAACAATAAAGGACCAGCAGACTTGTCCTCGATAACCTATACTTTTGAGTTTACAAAGTAAGATCGCTGGTCATGTCAACCAAGCAATGATTTCTTTGCTGAAACACCGTGTAAAACAAAAAAATGGAGAAAAAATCATGGAACTCAACGGTTCATTGTTGTACTTCAGTACGGTATTACCGCCACCGAAAGTGTGCGTAAGCTTTGTTGTCTTCAGCTCTTTTGTGTAGTTCGTGCTTCCTATTAATAACCATCAACCTTTACTACTAATGACAAGTGATTTCAGGTTAGTAGAACCGTCGGCAAACATTCGCATGGAAATATTTATCAAATGTTGCACGTAGAGTGAAACAACAGTCAATCCTGTAGCAGCTGTAAAAATCGCACAAGTGGTCTATTCTCACTACCAAGGCCTTTCCTAGAGGTTTATGTGAAATATCATAGTACCAACTATGAAAATGGAACATAGATTTAAATATTAAAGGTAAAAACTGTCAGAACTGTGAGGTGTTGGGAGAAGGGTAAAGAAGGTTTATCCAAAGGTAGAAATCTTACCAACACCTCGAGACACTGTTAACTACTTGCCTCTCTTTTTTATTTTTAGGGTTATAACTCAACTGATTTGAAAACAAGTCTCGTCTCTCTGATATTACATTAAACTTCCCCCGTTTTATAGGTATGGAATGGGAATGTTATAACAGTAAATCGTCAGAACGTGCTAGGCTCGTGTCGTTTCACTCAAAACAAACTCATTGCCACAGAACAGTGATTGTGTTCACCAATTACCGATAATGATAGAGATGGTCAACCGCTCTGAATTGAGAAATGGCCGCAAACTATTACTCATTGTTTCTTGCCTCTGTTATCTATTTTC